AATTCTTGGGTCACAGAGAAAGAGAAAAACAACTAGTAAATGGGCCTTATTGAGTAACAGTTTCATGTATGATATCACTATAAAACAATATCATGTAAATTCTATCATGGTATCAAAATATCACAACAACAGGTATTAAAGAGCTCAGAGTCCAGATTTATATCTTTCTAAACTGAAGTGTGAGGTAAGCAGGATGAACAGTGATACAGATCATGAGGGCAGGTATTTTTAAAAAGGTTTTCATGAAGATGTAATACTTGAGTTTGTGTGTTTCAGGAAACTGTTTGGTCGAAGCCACTTCTCTATCTTGATTCTCACTTCTATAGTTTTTCAGGCTGCTGTGGTCGGGTGCTGTGAGCAAAGATCTGTTGGTTGGTTTTTTCTGTTTTTGAACACTTACCTTTAAATAAAATGAAATTACAGAAACAAAATAAGTAATCTGTACTATTAGGTTCTGTTACCGAACCGTAAACGTGGGCTAAAATCACTAACGGCTGCTGGTTCTGCACCAGGTCTCATTTAATCTCTTTTTTTGTTGCTGCTGTTATAAAGTCAGATTAGTGTGGTTGGTGCTGGGGCTGTTATGTGTGACTTTAAAACACGCTTCATGCGGCCTTATCCTTTCTGTTTCAATATAACCTTGGGTCAGATTTGCTTAGGAAGGCTGAGGCTCAGTATAAGCTCTTTCTGCAGAGGAGACACTTGACCACACTTTAAGAACGTTTCTGTTCTTTTCACGCCGTTTCTTCCTTTTTCTTTTAAATAGCACCCTCTGTGGTGCTTCCTTTTTTTGGCCTGCATGAAGCGTTAGGCTCAGACCGCGTTGTTGATAGCATCTCAGACAAGCTTTTCAGGATGTTGTTGTTTCAATACAGCTGAGCAGCTTCAGCATCATCTGCCTTCAGTGTTACATGGAGCTAGTTTTCGTTACAGCATGCCTTTTGTTGTTAGTGTAAAAAAGCCTTTGACACGTTTTTGTTTCCATATTTATCACGATAAAGATTTAGCTGCAGACGAATTGCATCATTGAATCATTGCAGTATTGCTTGATTTGAACTCTTATTTTTTTAGGTGTTAACTTTTAACATCAAAACATAAATTTTTACTACCTTGAATCCTGAATGTTGAAAAAGCTGCTGTGTTGTTATGTTGTTGCTTCTGGGAGGCCTTTGTGTTGTGGGTTATCTATCCCTGAGGAGATTTTCTTATCCCCATGGCTCCCATCTACAAACTGGTGCAGGTTGCTTTGATTGTCATTAGATAATAACTTTCCCTAATGGTTTGGTGAGGAAGGCCTCACTATGGAAACAGCTTGAGCCACCAGAGGCAGAAAGAGAGGACAGGAGGCGGAAAAAGCTGGAGAATGATGGGCTTTTTTCCACTCTGTTCTCCTGCTCATGTCTCGGTGGAGTCGGACTGAGGAACAGCCATGGCGACGTGTACCAGCTGCACTGTGATGAATGGTCGGGGCTCAGGAGGCGTTGCCATGACAGGGTCCCTGGCACGCGCTGCGATGCAGACGCCTCTTTTCTCAGGGCATGTTTACACATTATTTCATTGCCTGGGCCTGCTTGGTTGGTACTTGAGAGGAAAGGCCTGCCTGAATATGCAGAGTTTAAGTGTGCAGAGCTTTTAGGAATGATGCGTCGCTTTTTCTGTTGTTTTGGTGACAGCATCGGGAAAAATACAGCTGTTGTGTAACCACATCTGACTGCACCTCTCCATGGTCACTAACACTGTTAAATACTCCTGTCGCTCAGCCTGTTTTTGGTCAGGACGGAGCTGTTTGGGTGTTGAGCAACACCGCGAGGCGCTTTCTCAAACAAACTTGATGTCCGTTTGCTTGCCTGGCTCAGTGCTGGTCTTTGCTGGCACTAACGTGAGACTCTAACCTGAACGAAGCAGTTTATCTTGCCTAAACAGAATCGAACGACGAGTGAAATCGCTCCAGCTGTTTCTCTAAATGTTGTTCCAGTATAGGAGCCCAGTCAGTGGTCTCACACGGCCGGCTGTGAAGAATTGAATTCTGTGGTCTACATTTGAGGCTCGAATTCCTAAAACCTCACTTTGAACGAGAAAATGAAAATGAATTTTAGTTCTTAATTCCCGAGTGAAGGGAAACGTATGTTCACTGTGGCGTTTCCATTTTTGTGCGTATTTCTTTGAGTGGGGGGGTTTCAGGTGTAGCTCACAGTGGAAAAGCACCGTGGCCAAAGAGGTATCTCTGGGGGAAATACTTCCCCACTTTCATTTCAGACTTTGTACCTCAGCTCTGCTCACAGGCTGCACTTTGGAAGCTCGTGATTGTGCTCCAGATAAGAAGTCGTCTCTGGTTTTTAAGAAGTAACGAGACCTCAAACATACAAATATTAAGAAGGTTTGACCCATCTGTGGATTTACAACGCCTGTAACTCTGAAAATATTCAGAGTGTAAAGCTGTAAATGTGCATAGCTTTATGCATCCATCCGTTTTCTGCAGCTTATCTGGGTCGCTTTGTTAAATGTAATCGATTGTGCACACACGCTGCCTCTGAGACGTTTGGGAATAACTGAAGTAAAGAATTAGTAAGAAAAACTTTTGCCTCGAAGGCAGTTGCAATCAGTTCTGAGCAGCGAAGCAGATTTAACGACTTGGGGGGCGGGGCTCGACGCAGCCAGAATTTCCTGCTCAGATAACCACGACATGTAAACTAAACCGCTTCTAATTTCCATTGAAAATTTGTGATCAGTTTTCGCTCAGTTAAGACAGGAAGGTGTGTTTGTGGTGTTCGGCCTCTGTGGTTACCACCACCACGGCTGTTCTCTTTACCTCCCTCCGTGCCTGCTGTTCTTCACTTCTGTGCTGTGCCTTTAGGAATTGAACGACACTGCTGACCGTGAGCTACGTGATCTAAATATATCTCCGCTCTTCCCCCCTCGTCCCTTTTTATTTTCTCATCTGCTCTTCATTTCAGCACTTTTGTTCAGAACCCTCTTGGCTCCTCTTCATTCATTCATGTGTGCAAACACGCCTGCACCACATGGAGCTGTTGCTGAACTTTCTTTACTTGATCATAGAACTAAAGTCAGAGAAGATGTATTTGCATATGAAATTAATAGATGCAAAGCTGCGTTTCCACCTGGAGCGATGTTGTAGAGAGAGGAATGTTAATAATTTGACGTACTGTAATTAAATAAACATAAACAGTCAGATTTCAGCTGACGGTAAAAGTAGTCGATAACATCTATCTGCTCCTTTTAACCACGTCAGCCATTTATCAGCCTGTATCATACAGGCTGCCTGGACTGATTTTGTAGTTCTGGCTGAGGAGTTGCAGTAACGTGAAGTGCACATGGTGAAATAGAGGCAGGTCTGTGGTTATGTTACGCTACCCCGTGGATACTTGGTGCTACCGTGATACACCGAACATCCCAGTAAAGCTCGTCATCCCTTCTTTCCGACACCGTTTGAATTTGGTCTGCAGCAGAAATGAGTAATAGAGTTAGGACGTGTCTAATACGTGCCTGTTGCTGGGCCTGGGCTGTCTTTGAGGCTTGGTAACGATCCCTTGTAGTTTGAGTCGTGTTAAAAAAGAACTTTTTATAGTGAGTAATCCAAAC